AGAGAAGCACCTCTGGGCACCTCTGCCTGCTTTTTCCAGCTGTATGTGTTAGCCTAACAGAAGGGACGACGTCCCGCTGCAAACCCTGCCTGCCCATTCAGATGAAGAAAGCACTCCAAAATCTGCAGGATTGCCTCAACCGTTTTGAAATCAGCTGGGCAGGTTCCCAATGGGAGAGTGTTTGAGTCCAGATTCCCAAGATACAATATCTCATAAAATCAGTGTTTCTGTTTTTCCCCTCCCCAGGGCAGGGAGGGGTGCTCAGAGCCGCTCTCCGCAGCTCAGGATTTATCCCTTCCCAGGAGGCAGCGCAGAGGATGTTCTCAGAGGAAGAGTATTGCTCCCAGCAAAGGCATGTACCAAAGGCTTGAACAAAGCAGATGGCAGCAGGGCAGGAGCAAAAGAATAGTTCTGGGGATTTCCAGGGAGATCTTTGCACCCTGGGCCCTGGTGCAGGGAGGAGACGAGGTCTGGCTCCCGCACGCAATCCTTGCGACACAGCCACGGGCCAGCCTGACCCGGGGTTAAACTGCTGCCAGGTGGAAACAAGGCTTCGGAGAATGAGAGCAATGGTTTTACATGGACTTAATTACCCCAAATAAACACTGTTGCAGTAACTAGTCCCCACTACCATACCCTCTCAGGTACCTTGATTAAATAATACTACAGTTTGTAGAAGGGATTTCAACGAGCAAGCCCATGTTGCTTTGGAAAAATGTTCCCTTACAAAGCTGAGTCATAGAGAGGATTGAGAAATTCTGCAACCCGTGATTAAAGAGCTAGAGAGATCTGCCAGTAGAAAAGTCTGTCCAAACTTGTCACACTGTACACTATCTTCTGTTTCAATACTTTGCCTTGGGTAAAAGTTCATGTTTGTCTCTTGGCCTTATAATTTTGAGTACTATGCATTTCAGATCCTCTTGTCTCTTACTAACAACAACGTTTAATTCTGCTAATCTTGCACTTCGTCAGCCGCGTGGGAAGGTGATTGAACTTTTTGTCTAATGGCAAAAGACACTTCCATAGCTTCTTCAGACTCCAATTAGGAATAATCTTAAATTAAACAGTAGGGATATTGTAAATCTTGGGCTGAACTGGAAAGCTCAGGAAAAATACTCAAGGGAGAGTAGTTCCCATGGCAATGCTTTTCTATTTCCTCTTGAGAGGAGAGAAGAACGTGATGAAGAAGGCTTTTCCCTAACTGCACACCACACCTAGACCCAAGCATCAGCGTGCGCCGCCCAGCTCTCCCAGGCAGTTTCCCTCCAATTACTCACCAGGCCCAAACCTACACAGCCTCCGAGCTCAGGCACGGGCAGGCTGGTGCAGCTGCTCCACCTGGGACAGGGACCAGACTCTACTGTCCCAGCACAGGGACCTCAGGTGCCAGCTCATGCTGCCAACGTTGCACTGCACACCAAGCACCCAACGAGCCACGGGATGGGTCAGGGCCCTGTAGCACATGGCTGAGGAACTACTTTTCCAGCCTGGTCACCTCTCAGTGCCCCACAGCTCCAGAGCTACTCTGTTGTTTCTTGGTCCCTCAAGACAATTGGGGCTGGTCAAGGGATTACAGGTTAAGCTGCCCAGCTGCATCAGCTCTTGGGCTCCTGGAGGGGGGAAAGGACCGTGATGCTTGTAAGTCCATACTGCAGGCCAGGCTGCAGAGGGATGTAAAACAGGAGGCACAGGCCTGAATCCTGTGCTAGGTACATGGCACTGAGTTGATCTCTGGGCATGAGGATCTCAATCCTCAGAGATACTGAAGCACATAAATCCCAGTGGTGCCCTGGGATGTATTTCTGGGATGTTTCACTTCCATTTGTACTTTTGAAAAAATCTCCACCTAAAATTCAGGTACCTGAAGCTAGTCTTCTCACTTGGATTGCACAGTGGATGTGGCTGAGGCTGCTCTGGGGCCTTGGACTTCTGATCAGTCAGATCCCAATCCCAGTCTAAGACTAGCATGGCTCCATCCAGCCCCTACACTCAAGCTTCTTCCCACAGAAACGAGGATGGGTGGAGATGAAGGGGGGTGGCATGCCCCCAATTCCCACCTAGGCACAGACTCAAGATGTGGACTTAGACAGACACTCTCTGGAAATCAAGCCAGCATCTGCACTGGCCCATCTCCTGCAGCAGCTCCGACGGAGGACCAGGAAACAAGCATCTGCCATGACTGAAACCCACCTAGTGCAATAGCCTCTATTGAGAGTGAAGCAGAAAGATTATGAATGAGCTGACAAAACCAGCTTGCTGTTGGCATAGGCACTGAGCAGAGACGAAGTAGATAGGCTGGAAGTGTTTCATCCATTACTGTCAGAGAAGTCACTTTTACCACTGATCCTGCTCCGATAAATCAAGTTGCCAAGCAATTCTACAGAGGCGTTATATATCCAAGGCTACTTATGGTCCCATTAAAAGAGATGCATTTCTTTTTTAGCTCAGCGTGGCTGAAATGCTGTCATAGAAGAATGAAAGTCACTGTTTAGAGTACTATTGTAAAAAGAGGTATTATTGTAATTATAGTAAAAGGGACGATGTGAGCTAGGAGTCACCGTCTTCCTCCCCCTCCCATCGCCTTCAGGCAGCCTTGCAAAGCTGCAAATTTGCTACTACAAGCATAAGAGCTGCTCATGCACCCTTTGCCATGGTGATTGATGAGAATGGGGAAATAATGATGCTACTTCCCCATTCACCATAAATCACCCATCCCCTCAAAGTGACTAGAGTATTGTAAGTCTGCCCAGATTTATATGGACAACTTAACCAATTAGCTCTTTTATAAAGGCTGTCTTCTTCTTAACACAGTGTTAGATATATTTAGGCATGCGTCTACAACAGCAAATCTTTCTTTCGGAAGCTAACAAAGCTCTGACTCTAGCAGACTTAAAACCTCACTCTGCAAATGTTCACAATGTGACTACCTTTGCATTAGCAACTTCCTTTGTGACAGCAGAAGCCGATCAGCAGATCAAAGCAGTGGGTGTTGAGGCCTCTACACCTACTTTACATATATGCATATTTATTTATTTATTTATTTGTTTATTTATTTTTATTTATATGTGGTTTGGGAGTTCAGGCTAGAGTGAGCCTGCTCTGCTGGATCAACCAGCCCCATCACAGAGGTTGGCCCAAAGCTGCCCAGTCCCTCCTGCTGGCTCTGGCACATCAGCGCATGTGAAAGCTGGAGGGAGCACAGAACCCGGTGTCTAGTTTGTGAGCACCGAATCTGCACCAAATCTGCCCAGCAAAGCAAACCAATGCACACTAACCAGGGCCCGTCAGGGGATTCACTCCAAAATCACTCCTGCTCCAAACCACAGTGGTAACACTGATGTAGCCAGTACTACCACTGCAGCCAGCAAGAAAACTCTCACCAGGTACATTACGAAGGACAGCGCCAGCTTAGGAAGCTGCTAGCTAAATCCAGCATGGCTAAATCCACATAGCGTATATATAATTGCCATTAATACTAGGCTTTTGAATTTGGCTCTGTTTAAACGCAGTCCTTCCTATGGCTGGTCGTACCGCTGGCACACCGCTGCTCCGCACCGAGCTGGGACGTGCTCAGCCGCTGTGGCCCCCCCTGCCACACGCCTCACTGAAACACCACGGGGTTCATTTATCACCGCTAATTTGAGAGGAAAGGAAGGAAAGTACTTCTGCAGCATGGGGCTGAGCGCTGAAGAGGAGATTAGAGCAGCTATCAATTAATTAGCAGCAAGCCTCTCCTTTCTTTAAAACACAGAGATATTCCCACTTTGGCTGCCCCTGCGCAGCCCAGGACGCCGCAAGGCCAGCCGCGGAGCACATCGCTCTTCCCAGCCGCGTGGGAGAGGCCACAGGCAGTGCCGTGGCCTTCGCTCACGCGCTCCCACCGCGCTCCCAGTGCCCTGCAAGGCAGCTGTCTAGCCAAGAGAAACAGCCTCCTTCCCATTTCCCCCCATTGTCTTCTCAAATCCAGACACAATAGTTAGCACTGTGACTCTCTGCTGAATATCAGAAAAGCATTACAACGTCTCAGTTTCAGTGTTTGCTTGTGAGTCTGCATAAGCACAGAAGAGAAGAAAGGAGATCTTTAGGCAATGTGCCACATTATTCTCCTTTGGAGAACAAATACTAGAGGGTGCAGAGAACCCCTTGAGGCTTTTTTTACACCCATTCAGGAGTGAATTGCATGGGATGAAGCTCCTCTGACCATGCTGGCCTTGGGTCAAAACCCAGAGCACGTCTCTGACTCACTTACACTTTGCCCCGGCAAAATGACTGAAGCAAAATGAGGGTACTAAGGACCTTCTAATGTCAACAAAAAGAGGCTGGCTATGCAAACTGACATTCACAGCGATGGAGGTCTATCAGAAAGGTGACTGAACCAGCTGCCTGCTGGAAACCCTCAGCCAAAGAGCATTTCTGCCCTTGTGCCAGCACACAGCAGGCCTGGGGCCAGGGAGCTGGAGGAAGCTGCTGCAGGGACCAGTGTGGGGGCTTGGCCTTTCATCCTTGCAGAGACTGAAAGGAGGCCATGGATAGGTAGTTTGCCTGCTCTAAAAAGCAACTGGACAAACACATCCCTGATCCACAATGTACTAGACACTGCAGTAATATTTGCAGCAGATATCAGTACACAGTTGCCCTGATGCTATAATTTGAGGCGTCCACTAATGTCCATCACCAGCAGCAGCACACTGGGCTAGGTGGATCTTGAATGTGACAATAAGGCTACCATTTTGGGGCAATAGATCATGCTGAAGATCACAATCCATTAATATATGCTTAAACACTGTCTGTGAATCCCAAAACGTCTTTGGGCCCCACTCCCTGCCCTAGGAACATAAAAGTGAACATACGATTTTATTCAGGTGAGTAGGCCGCCCAGTTCCCACATTAGTACAAAAACAAGAGTCAAAGCCTTTCAGTAGCTGAAATCAATGAAGAAACAGATTACTGCATCAGGTCCTATCTCACATACAGTCACATAACATAAGGCCAAACCCAGATACATAAAATAGCAATTTATTGGAAAAAGCATGATGATTATTTATAGATATTGACTATTTATAGATATTGTGCCATGATTAGTACCCCAAACAGAAAGAATAAGACAGATGTTGATGAATTGACAACCTAAGGTCTTTCAAATCAACAACTTCCACTGAGCTCACAGAGTCAATGATAAGCACAAAAACTGTAATTCACAATATTAATGCATTTTTTAATTTATTTAAAGCTCTAGAAAGTGCAGACAGAACATAGGCATCTTTGCTCGTGGAGAAAAGGCAATTCAGCACGCATAAACTTTTGACATCAGTAACACTGCCTATGAAACAATACCCTATTTACTGCATGCAAAAGCACAGACCACTTGGCATGTAGTAGGACTGCACAGGCAGAGCCTAGAGACTCGACTGCTCTCACTATTGGGTCAGCAGCTCTTGCTCTCTGTTCAGGAAGAGGGTATTCCTGTGAAAATGCTGTTTTCCTCCTGTACTGTTCTGATGAGATGTGGTGCTCTGCTCATACCAGATTTATTATCAACCTTCCTAACATTTGAAGATTTCACAAGAGAAATTTTGAGACACTTGGAGAAATTTTGAAGCGCTGAGATTTCAATCATTGCAGAACATTCACCACCCAAAGCCAGAAAGGACCATATCTATAGAAAGGCTATGCAAGAGTCCCCAAATCAATCCATGAATACATAAAGCAGGCAGCACTGCATCCCTCCATTCCTCACCCATGCAGGTAAAAATAAGCCAGGATATGCCTAAGTTCCTTTGGCTTTGGGGACAGCCTTAGAAGAACTTTTGCTCCTCAGAAAAGTGCTTCCTGGTTGCATCTCCTGAACTCTAACTCTTTGTCTACCTTGATTTCCTTTTGATTCCTCCTTCCCTGTGCAGCAATCAATAACTGCAGACAATAGTCTTCCCTTTGCTTTTGTTTTTGAAAATTAAACTAATGTGCTCTTTTTTCTCAGTCTGACCAGCTGCTTTTACACATAGGGAACTGAAACTCTCTTGTGAGGCCCACAACAAAGTTCTTTCTCCTTTTACTGCTGAGATTTGCTTTCAGAAAAAGGAAACATGTCAAAAAGCTCCTGACTAGTCAGAACTTGGCTTCCATCTGAAAAAAATCTCTCTCCACTCTAGAGAGAAAGCACCTGGACTTTGAGGCGCTTTAGCACCACAGGAAAACACCTTTTAGTTGAACTTAACAATTACACAGGCACCCACTGTAACATGGTGCGCGTGCGTGTTCCCATTACAGGCCTCCTGCTGCCTGCCTGGTAGAGAGCCGGCAGCTAAAATGCTGGTTTAATGCATAACAGTTAAAACAATCATAGTGTTCCTAAAACAAGACTTATCCTTACTATTTTACTTGAAATTTCAGAAACGGCTACTCATTATTTGATAAGTAAATCCCTGTTCTCGAGAACAACCAGTTTTCGTCCTTTAAAGACAGCTGCTCAAAGTAGCCCCTCTGGAAATGACACCAATAAAGGGAGCTTTTCAAAGGAGCTGCACCCACAGTTGCTCCCACGACTAGATGCTCACCATTCTTGAAATTCACACTCAGATCATAAGTAACAGGTACCCGCTTCTTTCACAGTTTGTATTCTTCTAATCCAATTAGATTAACATGCACATTTCAACTGTGGTCCCTGTGTAAGCTAGTTTTAGAGAAGAATACTGCACACAATAGGAAGGTGAGGAAAATGCTCCTGGACATCACACTGTCCAGCACCTAGCTAAGATCAGGACATATCATACCCCAAAACGTCCCACCTCTCAAACAGAAGAGATTTCATAAACAGAAACTGGGATCTTTCTCTAAATGACATTTCTCAGTCAGATGGCAAAAGTGCTGCTTCTACTTCACACTATGAGAAAATGAAGAGGACGCTCATTTTCACTGGACGGCGTTGGTAGCAAACATCCATGCCCCTTTAGACTGCTTTTTGGAATGGCACAGATAAAAGCAGCATTTAAAGCTGCAGTAAGCTCAAGAAGATAAAAAAGTCCCCGTATGCACTTTGGTCACATCCTCCTGCCTGCCTGAGGTAAGCCTAGCAGTCTGCCAGCATTTGGACATGACTCCTGTCAGGCACCAGTCTTGCTAATTAAGTACTTCGGCTGTCTCAGCTCCCTCTGGGAGCATAAGGGAAGATAAGAGCAAGCCACTGAGAGATCATGAGAGGCTGTGTGGCTGAGGACTCTGGAGGGAAGGAGAAGCCAGGCCTGGGAAGGAGGCATTGTCAGGGCTTTGTGCTGTTCTTCTGAAAAGGTTGGTCCGTTAAAGGACCAAGGCATGGGTGCGAAGGGAAGGGATGATGGTTTTCTGCCTCTGCCAAATTGTTAGTTTCTTTTGAAGAGGACAGGGACATAGGGTGAGGAGGCTCTCAGTGCCAGGGGCTAGCACCAGATGCTCACTCTTTCACAAACCAGACCTCATTGCGTCGCCAATAAGGCTTCATAGGGGGGTCGTAGCCATTGCAGAAGTAGAAATCCTTGCGGTACACTGCTTCAGTCCCCAGAGCAGACTTCAGCTTGGCAGCATAATTCACATAATCGCCCTCTTTGGCGTAGCCACCAAACTGCCTGCAAAGAAACCGAACACGGAGAGGTGAGCAGACAGTCCTGCAAGAGGAAACGAAGAGAGCGAGAAAGACAGCCACACGTTTTGATCCAGTCAAAACCCGCAGCATTGCACTTGTGCTGGCCCTGTTCTTCATGAACCAGCACATTTTGTCTGTGACAGATTAACGGTCTCAAAGATTACACAGCCTATGTGCAGTCAGCCACTGACTGACCCCGAATGGCCCCACGCGTATCAGTCAGCAGCATGGCCTAGCCCTTTGAATGAGTGCCGTATCAGAGGAACGCAAGGAGCACAAGGTTATTTCCAAGTCTGCTCAACCCTCAGTCCTTCCACCAATGCTGTCAACAATCGTGTTCACTGTGGTGCGAACAACCGTCTGACAGAAGCCAGACTGGGAGGGGAAGCCAAACCCTGGCTAGCCCAAGGAAAAGGGGGTTGGGGGAAAAGCAGGAGATGTTAGCAATTACAGCCCACAACGCTATTCAAAAGGGCTGGAATTGGTCTGGTTTATGTTGACCTCTCACCAGCAGAAACTGTTTCCACATCAGCCTGCACCTCACTGCCCTGCCTTTGGGCCAAGGTTTGAGATAAAACAGCCTGTCCTTGCAGCACAGCCTGCAGCACAGGCCAAGCAGCAGTCACAGGCAGGAGGAGCCAGCAGCCTGGGACTGTCTGGAGCCAGCCAAAACAGTTCAAACAATGAGGTAGCGGAGCATCCAAGGGGCTAAAAACAGGAAAAAAGAGTTTTTTGCTGCATTACAATGCTTGTCTGAGTCCAGCATGACATCAGTCGACACTGTATGAAGCAATGCTGCTCATTACCCTGATGAACACTGGCATTTAGGCTTCAGGTGACCCCTGTAGTTTGATGTCAAACACCCCAAAGGACATCCTTGATGACTAAAAAGCTAGCTTGATCCCCAAAACTGAAGACAACAATGGTTTTCAGAGATCAGGAATGGCTCAGTCCTTTCATTTTCACCCTTCCCTGCCCTTCCCCTCCCCAGGTGAGAAAAAGCCTTGCAGGGCTAACTCCAGCACTTGTTTTGCCAGTGAAAAAAAAAAATCTATGTTCCAGATCTGTGCAATATGAACCATAATAAAAAGGGACATAAAACACCTTTGTCTTCAGTCTTTAACGGTCCCTCTTTCTCCTTCTACCACATGCACCCCTTGTTCAGCAAGTCACCTAGTAAAACAAACACTGCTTTTTAGTGCACCCAAGAGATCTCAGCACTGGGAACTGGAAATCCCTGGACATACTCCTTACGTGGAATAAATGGTCATCTCCTGTCTCTCTTCAATCTTAATGCTGTCATCGCTAGGACAGGGAGGGCTGGCTTGAAACTGGCTTGGGATCCGCA